AAAAGTGAGCATCATCATCATCATCATCATCATCATCATCATCATCATCATCGCGGCCATTGTCAACATCATCATTATCACGGCTTCTCACCTTCATTGCGCGCATTTGATCCGGCGACCTCGTCGTTTCACCGGGGCAACGATCGAGAAGATTCTTTAGGGGTTGAATGAAGACCTTCCTCGACTAGGAGGAAGGACCTTGATTGCTCCTGGCCGACCGGGAGCGCGGTATTGTCAATCTATCTCCCTCTTACTAATCCCCTCCCCTCCTCTCATCGATCTCTCTTAAAGATTTCATCTTTTTCCTCTTCTTTTACCTCCTCCCCATTTCCCTGCCCTCCTCTACCCCCCCGCCTAATCAGTCGCATCATCCAAATTCCTAATGCGCATGACGCACATTTTCTCTTTTGGGGTTTGTCTGACAATGTCGTTCATTCTGACATGATTCTATCGTTCGGAATTTTGTTCTAATTCAATAGGATTAATCTTCATCTCCTTTTCTCCTCACGCTGTGATCAGAATTAATTCCGGCATTTTTTTGTTCAAAAGTTACGTGAAATTCTTTATTATATCAAATTCTTTCGTAAAGTTAGTTTAAAATTTGATTTTAATTCAGAAATTCGTGAAATGAATTTCAGAATTTACTCAATTTAATCCTTCTGACGTCCACTCTACTTCTACTTTCTATCCCTCGTAAAATTCTGAAATTTCAAATTTTGCAATTCTTTTTGAAATTCTTTTGGAATTCTTTTGGAAATTCTTTGAAATTCTTTTTATTTTTACAACATGTCGATACAATTTATTAATTTCACCTAAATAATTTTGAAATGTCGCCCAATTCAATTTACTTGACCGTCATTAAATTATGTCTGCCATTTCATCGTAAATTCTTCAATTCAGAATTAGTCTTCTATTTTTATTTCAAATCATCTTTCAAATTCTTTTAATTCCAGAAATATGTTAAGGAATTTTCCATTTTAATTCAAAATCCTCGTCTGTACTAATCTCTACATCTTTCATCATCTCCTTGAACTTTCAAAATTTTTTACGAATATTTTTGAAATTCCTTGAATTTTGCTTCTATTTTCTTTAAATTTTGAATTTACGTCCAAATAATTTCGGAATTTTATTTTGACTTTGTGATTGTCTTATGCATGCTTTCCTTTATGCCCCACGCCATTCTGTGAAAATATCCTCTCATGTTTATGCTGGAATTGGGAATTTTCATTTTTCTCCCTTAACCTGACTCTGAATTTTTCTTCATTTAACTTCAGAAATTTGTTAGACTCCATTTCTACGCACCTTCTTTTCCCAGTCCCCTACCCCCCTTCTGCGTGTCATCCTGGCTCCCCGTGACATCCAACAGCGCGCACTCCAAAATTGCGCTCGAGACACTCGTGCCGCCAATCGACTAGCTCGCTTTGACGCACCGACCGCGGCCACAGCTCGTCCCTCTCGTCACGGTGCTCCCTCGACATCATCTTCATCTTCTTCATCTGTCGATTCCATGCAGAGTGCAGAATCGGTGAGCCCCTCCCACTCCATCAGTGAAGGTCTTGCGCTCCTAGCTCGCGATACCATGGCCGATTCGGCTCACATTTCCACCATTATGGCCACCAGTTCGGGCCCAGCCGCCCAATCGGATCGCCTACTGGCTCTCCTCGAGAGCTTGCAGGCTTGATTCGAGGCCAGACTCGAGGCCAAATTCACGACCCTCCATACCGACTTTTCATCCCTGTCGGCCCGCGTATCACAGCTGGAGCCCCGTACCAATGCACCTCCCTCCCCACCCCCCTCATCTGCATCTATGCCAGCTTCCTCTCCTTCTTCGGCTGATGTCATCTACACACTTGTCTCTTCCACGGGTTGCATGTCCTCACCCCAGTCCCACCCTTCCTCTGCAGCCGTCTCTTCCCCCCAGGTTTCTGCCCCTGCACCTCCCCCGTCAGCACCCATGGCATCTTGTCC